GGGTGCCAAGTGCGCATGCGCAAGAAGCGGTGCTTTTTGTGAATGGTAAGGCGGTACCTGGGACACATGACAGATCCCAGAAGCCGCCGGACCAATCACAAAGCGCAAGTGCTTCTCGCTCATGCGCACTGGGCACCCGGCTGTCATGCCGAGCGCTATTACAGAAGCCGGGAAGACAGCGTGCGGCTGGATCGAGGAACAGGTAAGATCAAACAAAAACTCTGCGGAAGTAAGAGCGGGTACCTGTCAAATTCAGGTACCCGCTCCCCACCTCCCCAAAGGTCAGCAGTCATCTGTACTGTCCGCAGTCTCTGGTCATCCCTGTGCTGTCCGCAGTCTCTGGTCATCCCTGTGCTGTCCGCAGTCTCTGGTCATCCCTGTGCTGTCCGCAGTCTCTGGTCATCCCTGTGCTGTCCGCAGTCTCTGGTCATCCCTGTGCTGTCCGCAGTCTCTGGTCATCCCTGTGCTGTCCGCAGTCTCTGGTCATCCCTGTGTTTTGTAAGGGGAAGAAAGTGTTATGGTGAATAATATGGTTTTAATTATGTGTTTTTGTGTGAGTGTTTGTTGTTTTGGCAGGTCACTGCGTGGTGTGGCTCTCTGACTTTCACAGTTTAAAATTTTGGCTCTTTGTGTCTAACTTGTTCGCCACCCCTGTGCTAGTGGATTGTACCTGATCTCCAATTGAACTGAATTGCCTGTGAAGATATATCCTATGGCTATAGTAAACATACAACTCAGGTTGTAAGAGGCACATCTTCCCACCCTCCCTCTCCCTTGGGGTTCGCCCTGAACCCCAAGGGAGAAGAGTGGAAGAGTGAAAGAGGAACTTGCTATGGTCACCCTATAACAGCCAAGAACCGCAAGCATGGACATTTACTGTTGCCATTTTCTGTCGCAATGGTGATGAAGAGCGTTGTCAATGACAGATGTCCTACAGGAAGTGTGCAAGCAAGGTCACTTCCCTTTGGCACTGCAGGGAAGTTATCTCCCTGCTGGTCCAGCTGTCTTGATTTCCCATCTCAATGCGGACCTTTTGTCAGTGCTATGGACATCTAGCAGCTATATAGAAGTCGTTTGTCCCTGACTTCCCCCATGCAATATGCCATATGACTGGTGCACAGATCTGCAAGGGAAGACCTTCCTGAACATGTTGGTCAGGCAGTGCTCTGATAAGAGATGGCATCCCTGCTGACCACCACACTAATCAGAGGACTCCATGAATTGGGAAGCATGTACGGGGTAGGGGGCAGCAGGGTGGTGGTTGTTTGTCATGCCCTCCATGTTTTCCAATTTAATCATTGGGCACCAAGTCTGGAAAACATGAGAAGCCTACACCCGGGGTGGATTCTTCTGGGCTACGTTAGGCACCTACAGGGTCTCTCGCTAATTACTTCACATACATGGGGTACATGGGGTGGCTTTGCTTTAGTGCCATTTTCACCAGTGCTCTGGGACAAGGCTGAGGTTGCTGTCAGGGAATATTCAACCTTAAAGTGTTACTAAATCCACAACAGTAAAATCAGCCTGTATATGCAATAAACCATGCTTGTTGTACTCAGTACAGGGTTAATCCTCTGCGTTGTGCAAAAATGCTGTTTCATTCTGACTTCTCTGATCCTCCCCTTCTTCCAGTTTCCCCCTCTTATCTCCTGATAAGACATAGTGTGGAGTGTGGAGACACTCTGCACATGCTCAGTTTAGTGTGTATTGCTAGAGAAATTTTTTTTCTTGGGATAGTGCATCTGATCAACACAGGGTCAATCAACACTGTGAAGACAGAGATCAGGGGTTCTGCGTCCTCCTAGAGCAAAATGAAAACTCCTCCTACAAGTTTTAACCAGTGCTCGGCTGGACACTGATAGAAGTCACAAGACTGCTCTAACTGCTGATGAGAAAAGGTATTTAGCAGTTTATATTTACTAAAATAATTGCACTTCCATGTTGTGTGTACTGTGGGAGACCAGACAGAGTGAATGCAGGGTCCTGAGTTTTGTAACACTTAACTCCTTATTCTCTTTCTCCATTCAATTATTATTATTTTTTTTGTTTCTATTTTATTCATGAATAATATTTAAACTTCCATGTTCTGTGTAAAATGGAAGATCAGATATAGTGAATGCAGGGTCCTGGGTTTAGTAACACTTTAACGCAGGCCTCTACACTTAGAGATGAACATAAACTTTGCACACATGCTCAACAACTGCTCTCCAGTTAACTATCAGGTCCCTGTGCAATTGTACATCTTCCCACAAGTAGGCAGGATACTGACCACAACCACCTGTCCAGCGTTTCCTACTACCGGTCCCCATAGCAGCATGGAACCCCACCATGCACATAGCTCTACACAAGATGGAGACCTCCACAATGCAGTTCCACTCCAGTTGCTATGAGAGATGGAATGCAGCATAGGGAGTGGCAACAAAATGTCCCCCACAGCAATCCCACCTATAACAGGTAAACTCCATGGACAGGCTGCTTAGAGACTGAACCATCAATGCTCTTTTCAACCATATGTGTAATGTGCATTTAGGTGATTCTCATCACCCTAGTCCCTAAGCCTAACAAGGCTATGTGCTGTCCTGGCATACCTGCAGAGGTGAGTCCAGGTAGTTGCGACATCCAAAAGAGGCAAGTTCCAGAAGTTGGTCTCTTCGGGGCAAACCCCAAGTCTTTACAATGTATAAGATGTTTGCGCCATCTCTACATCTTTTCCAGTTGACTTTTGCTTTGGGTTTCTGGGCAGATGGCCAGGGCTGGGGAAGTGAATGGCCTTCTAACACAGCAGCCTTTAGCCACCCACGCTCTTGAACCTGCCCACTGTCCCAATTTATACTCACAGGTGCAGTGGGTCAGACACAAGAATCATGTCAAAGGACAGTGAGAACATTAACACCTACCCTCCCTGCCGGGACCACACTTACCTGACTAACTCTAACCTGCATACAAGCAGATTTTCAGGTGGTTTGTGTGGAAGAGGGAACAGCTGTGCAACCAAGATTATTCAGGTTCCTCTCAGTTTTTGTGGTTACAGGACAAAAATCTCAGCAAAAGGACAGAGACAATCCAAAAAGGATTTCAATACTCTCAGTAGCCAAAAATATTATAAAAAAAGTTGACTATAGATATACTTGTAAGGGATAAGGAAGACTCTTTGTTTCTTTTAGTGATTTATCAATACAACAAAGTAAAGAAATTATTGAAAAGCTGCAGAACCATTTACTTTTATTAGTAGCTGCTATGATTACTAAATATTGCCATGGACATCGCTATTTAAAAAAATGGTCATTTATGCCATTGATTCTTGATGTCTGGTTTTAGAGAGGTGGGTCCTTGCATGGAAAAATATCATAGGCACTTTTTTAGAGTATATTACTAACTCAGATATGTATGTTTTATTTCAAGCTGCTTTGAATGCGGAAACAACAGCACCCGCAAACCTTAAAGATCAATATTAAGAAGTACAAGTGAAATTCATCAAGTGAAGAAGGTAAAACAAAACGGGGAACAAACATTTTAATAAAAATGGTATTTAAAACTGAATTTCAGGCAAAAAAATTAATTTAAATATATTCTTTGATAATCACAAAGAATATAAATCCATTTTTTGTGCATGAAATACCTACGCAAACCTAAATATTACCTTCTAAAAATGTAGAAATGTACAACTGCGATAAATTGGAGGAGAGGGCAAATATAAGACCAGTCTCATTCTGCAGAAGGAGAGAGAGCTGCAGGGACCGGTCTTTATTACAGAAAGCTCCTGCACAAAGGCAACGTTTCATGCTGGATTACTGCACAGATCTAGACAAAATATACAAAGCACACCAAAAAGAATATGTACAGTATGCCTTTGTATGTAGGGAAGGCTTCAAAAGTTAAGCCTTTTACTCACTACGAGATTATTGGACAAATGATCATCTGTTTTTATCTGCATGCTAATCTCGTATCGATAATTGAATAGGTTACTAAAGTTACGAAAATTCTCATAAAACAGAATTCAACTTCTTGCGATGATGTAATGTATTGTATTGTATGTACTGTAAAGTATTCTTTAGTTTCTGAGCATGCGCAGTCTTGGTAACTTGATTTTTTGCAGATAAATTATGTACTGATTAAACAAAAATCATTCATTCTGTTACCAGACGAGAACATCTTTGATGCTTGTCCCTTGGATAAATGACAAAGAGCTCAAAGAGAAAGATAAATCATAGTGCTCACTGTTGTCATGTAGAAATATTTTCAAATGAATGTATTCCACTCACAAAAATTCTGTGCTTCATGCAACAAATCAGTGAACTTATTCAAGGTGTTTGTCAAAGTGCTCTATAGACCATGCAGTAATCCAATGTGTTACCTCCACACCCAAGTGCATCAAATCTGCTCACCTTTAGCCAATTACCCCTTAAATTACAGGAGGTCCAACAGATTTTCTGAAATATAAAAAGGTATATCCACCAATAGATTTAAGGAGCTTCATTGGAGTGTATACAGTACCTTTTCTGATACCAAGAACAACAAACAGCACAGCCTGAAACGCCATTTCTACACTTTGCATATTATACTAAGGAGCCTTTTATCTATTATTACAAGGTAAGGAACTACTAGTTTTATCTGGGGGTGCCTAGTGATTTAAAGTAGTACTAAAGTCTCAGCATTTTTATTACAGCTACATTCTTCTTGCTTTAATAATCATTTACCATTAATTGATCATTTGCCACAATACTTTAAATAGCATAGCTACTAGTTATACTAGTTCCCCCCATGCAGCTTCCCCAAACTTTTCATCAGGCAGTGCCCACTCTGTAAAAAGCATGTCTCCTGATTCCCTCCTCAAGACTACATGGGGTTTATTTACTAAAGCTGGAGAGTCCAAAATCAGACTCCCTTCTGCATAGAAACCAATCAGCTTCTAACCTCAGCTTGTTCAATGAAGCTTTGGCAATGAAACCTGGAAGCTGATTGGTTTCTATGCAGAAGTGAGTCTGATTTTGCACTCTCCAGCTTTAGTAAATAAACCCCCATGTGTCATCATGCCTAGCACTATGGCACATATGTGGCAGAGCTATAATGTCATCATTTCTATTTCTCTGGGCTGCCTGTGCATTTCCAGCACAGGTAGCGGTGGCAAATATATTGTTAGTATGCATGTAAGGGTGGCTCTGGCAGGTCTCCATAGGACCCTGCAAGCCATGGAGTGACCCTTGGCAGCATGCTGCCACCAGGATCTTTATTGGTGAAAAATTGTTGGTAACATAGGAAAGAAGCCCTTCAAGCCACTCTAGAACTCATTTAGACAATATCATCCTTTTTTAATTTAATTAGAATTACAATTACAGTTTTCTTTTAATTGACTTCATTGACTTAATTATTTTTTGTATTATTTTACAGTACTTGAATACATCTTTACTTCTTCCATAACCTGCTCACTGAAATTGGATGGCTAGGCAACTATTTATTGAAAGACATGGTCAACAACTTTTCATTTTAGAGACTCTATGAGGGAAATAAATGTTAATAACTTAAGAACATGTACATATTCAGTTCTGCAAGGAGAAGAGTATTCACAACGTCTAATCTGAAGGTTAGAAAGTGTGGAAACTTTACATAAGAATTAAGAGCTTCATTACATAAACACAAAAATGGAACAGCAGAGAGCGCTAGACTATAAGTGCAGTAGTATGAGCACAGTTTTTATGAGAAGACAAATGGCAACTCACTTATAGTTGGAAGAACAAAGTGTATCTCTATGATCTAAAACTCTGCTCTCCATGGGTCTGCAATGTGGATGGTCAGGATGCTGCTGTGGCCACCAGTAGGATCAGATGCCGCTGTAGGATGAGCCAGGAAATGGCAAGAACCAGGCTGGAACACTCAGGGGCACTGAACCGGAAGCAACATCACCGTGGGCAGGATAGGAAGCAGAGGGCTGTGGTTATGGGTTTCAAAGCCCTGCGGCTTCTTCCTCAAGCCATGCAGTGCCATGTAAACCATGCAAATATATTCCCACTGTGGGTGGAGCTAGCAAGGGGAACGGGGTGTTAGGCTATAAGCATACATTCAGAGATCAGTGATGCAGGGAGGCTATTAATGAACTTCAGAGAGGGGGAACCACAGAGTGCAGAACCAGAGATTAGCACACAATAATAACTGATTATACAGGGAGGCCATTAACCCTTAGTGGATTGCACAGAGCAGGAACTACAAAATGCAGATAAACAGACATTGTGAAAGCATAAGGTTTTCTTTGCCTTTTCCCTTTTCTTTTTGCTTGAACCACTGATGTATTTATACATGTTGATCATATTCCCCCTTAATCTCTTCTTCTCAAGAGAGAATACATTCAGTTCCTCTAATCTTTCCTCATAGCTGAGCTCCTCAATGCCTCTTATCAGTTTGGTTGCCCTTCTCTGGTTAGTGCAATACTTACTCATTCACAGTCACAGGAGGCACGGTATTCACCTATGTTGGATCATTGGACGTTATATTATTATTGCATTATATTATTATCACTTATTGCACTTTAAAACGTCACTATCTTAGACATTTCACACCCACCATTACCACAGCGCTCCACAGCGCAGTTATATGTATTTATGTCACATTAATTGCTTATTCATATACCGTATTTTTCGCTCCATAAGACGCACCTGACCCTTAAGATGCACCTAGGTTTTAGAGGTGAAAAACAAGAAAAAAAAATATTCTGAACCAATGGACTGCAGACACAGTACAGGGGATGACCAGAGACTGTGGACACAGTACAGGAGATGACCAGAGACCGCGGACATAGTACAGGAGATGACCAGAGACTGCGGACAAAGTACAGGGGATGACCAAGAGACTGCGGACACAGTGCAGGGGATGACCAGAGACTGCGGACACAGTGCAGGAGATGACCAGAGACTGCGGACACAGTGCAGGAGATGACCAGAGACTGCGGACACAGTGCAGGAGATGACCAGAGACTGCGGACACAGTGCAGGAGATGACCAGAGACTGCGGACACAGTGCAGGAGATGACCAGAGACTGCGGACACAGTGCAGGAGATGACCAGAGACTGCGGACACAGTGCAGGAGATGACCAGAGACTGCGGACACAGTGCAGGAGATGACCAGAGACTGCGGACACAGTGCAGGAGATGACCAGAGACTGCGGACACAGTGCAGGAGATGACCAGAGACTGCGGACACAGTGCAGGAGATGACCAGAGACTGCGGACAGTGCAGGGGATGACCAGAGACTGCGGACAGTGCAGGGGATGACCAGAGACTGCAGACACAGTGCAGGGGATGACCAGAGACTGCGGACACAGTGCAGGGGATGACCAGAGACTGCGGACACAGTGCAGGAGATGACCAGAGACTGCGGACACAATACAGGAGATGACCAGAGACTGCGGACACAGTGCAGGAGATGACCAGAGACTGCGGACACAGTGCAGGGGATGACCAGAGACTGCGGACAGTGCAGGGGATGACCAGAGACTGCGGACAGTGCAGGGGATGACCAGAGACTGCGGATAGCGCAGGGGATGACCAGAGACTGCGGACAGCGCAGGGGATGACCAGAGACTGCGGACAGTGCAGGGAATGACCAGAGACTGCGGACAGTGCAGGGAATGACCAGAGACTGCGGACAGTGAAGGGAATGACCAGAGACTGCTGACCTTTGGGGAGGGAGGGGGAGCGGGTACCTGAATTTGACAGGTACTCGCTCCCACTTCCGCGGACTTGCCTTACCTCTTCTTCCCGGGCTTCTGTGACAGCCGGGTGCCCACTGCGCATGTGCGAGAAGCGCTGCGCTTTGTGAATGGCCCGGCGCCTTCTGGGACCTTTCATGTGTCCCAGAAGACACCGGATCATTCACAAAGCGCCGCACATGCGCAGTGGGCACCCGGCTGTCACAGAAGCCAGCGCGGGAAGACTGTGCAGCGCTGGAGCGAGGAACAGGTAAGGCTCTGCAGGAGACAACAGCTGAGCGGCCGGCCCGGTATTCTGACATGGTGGCCGCAAAAATACCGGACCAGCCGCTTTATATTCGCTCCATAAGACGCACTGACATTTTCCCCCCTTTTTTGGGGGGAAAAAAGTGCGTCTTATGGAGCGAAAAATACGGTATATATTTTTTCTGAATACAGCGCTGCATCTTTTGACAGATTCTATACCAAAGGTTCAGAGGTTATACCTTTATGCTAGCTGCTCATCATTCACTTAATTTCTAGTGCTCGTATACCCCTCTTATATATTCCATGTATTTATTTATCATTTAGTAACAAGTATTTAACATCAGGATTCTCCCTCTAGACTTCAGTGGTCAATTCAGGCTTACTACCAGTTAATTTAAAAAATCAAGTGTCACAGCCAAAAGTACCTAAAAAGTATTTTTGGTCCATGTTGTTGCTGCTATATTTAATTACCATTTAGTATTTGTTATGAAGTATTTAGCATCAAGGTTTAGTTTGGGTTTTGCAGTTTTCCAACAGCATTCAACAACCATAAACCATGAGAGAAGAATAAAGCAACCGAATGCATGTACTCCTGCCCTGGACAGTGGACTCCACAATATCAATATCCCCACATGTGTAAGAAAGGAATGTAAGTCTTGCTGCCCTCAACGGACCAGGGAAATCCAAAGAGAACTGTATATAAGAAACAAAAAGAGGGTGCACAGGCCTAGTGTATTACCTTTAAAAATGAGATTTATTTATAAATAGTAAAATACTCACAAGAAAAATAAAATAAGATCAAATGGAAAGCATGACACAAAGGATGCAATGTGGTCCAGAAACCATAACCCATGCCCCAATTTAAACCTGGGAAAAAAATCTCATTCATATTCATACTTATAAACTCCCATATCTCACATCAACCAGATAGAGGACCTTTTCCTGAGGAACTTTGGAATGTAAAACAGATATTTTACACTTTTAAAATATTTTAATTTCCTTTCATTTGAAAAGTACCTTTTGTCTTATTTTGTTAAACAGAATAAAACTGTATATGTTGAACCCTGTGAGACCTAGGGACCCTTTTTTAAAACATTTGTTGGACGAATGTCACAAGTGTTTGTACAAGCCACATGAATGTTCCCCATATTTTCTGTAATACTTTGACATCCTATGGTTTTCTTCTCCATCTAGTGGCCAACATGGTGTATATTTTCTTACTAAGGTATTTCAGGAAAATATACCACATTTAGGCCACTAGGTGGAGCTGATGATCATAGGAAGTCATAATTTCAGAGAAAATATGGGGGACATTTCCTCCAACAATTTATTTTTTCAAATAGACTTTCTACATGCTATTTTGTTATTCCTCTGTTAAGTAAAGTTATTTATACATTTTTATTTTTGGTGTTGTCACTTTCCATGCAGTGGTGTCCTGGCTTTATTGTCCTCACTTTAAGTGATATGCAGTCCTTATGTTATTCTACCCTTAACTTATTTACAGGTATACTGCAGTTAATCTTTTTTTATATATATAAACTAACAAAACAGACACAACCTATTTGCTGAGTTTTTTTTCTACATGATGAGTGTTTTTAATTCTGCCATTCATCTTTTGCTAAATCCTTTTGATTGCCCTTATTCTTTTTTTTTTAAGTCCCCTGACTTCGAGAGTATAAAAATTGCAGTCAGAAGTTGCACTTTTTAAATTAAAAAATCTTTATTTTAGATACAGTATGTGCACAAAAGTCAATAAAGCAGTTGAAAAAAACAGGGCAATATACGTCTCCATGCATCAGTGGAGGGCAGTCTATGGCAGGACTGAGTAAGTTTTGGAAAAGAATCAGGGCCCCTCTGAGATCAGAGAGAAAGTGTCAACTGCCAGGTATTTCAGACCAGAAAGAGAACCCCCCACTCCAGTATGCCATACTAAATGAATAAAACCCCGAAAAGGTTAAGCAGAAAATGACCCTAAAGTATCATCAATGAAAGGTATAACAAAGATTAGAATTTCAGATACCCTGTCTGATAATCAGATTCAATGTGTGAGAGTTTTTGCATAAAATGTGCCATTGTCAAAATAAAGTTAAGACCTTATGAGATACCTAAAGCTTACAGAAAAGTCATTTCAGAAGAGGTACAGAAACTTTTATTCCTTAAGATCGTAGATTAATCCAACAGCAAGCAGTCAAGTCCAGTAGCGGCAGTTTAAGGTTCCTTAATAAACAAAGAAAATATTAAAATATGATTTAAAAAATATCACAATATGATTATTATCCCATGCACTGGGTGGAAGACTTGGTCGAAGGGTTGAGAGTCCAGCCAAGTATATTACTACCCTCAAGCTACTTAAAAGTATTGGCAGATTCACTTAAAAGACAATGAAAAAGAAAAAAAAGGTTTTGTGACACGGGAAGGGCTGTACTAGTATGTGGTCCTAACTTCTGGCTTACATAGGACCCCACAAAGAATATGCTTCAAGCAGAGCTCTGGTTGCTCAGAACACCATGTTGATTACAGAAACCTTGGAAAGAGCAATAAAAACCTACATGGCTTTAATAGAAGGTAAGGATGAATGGACAAAACAAATAATAGGAGTCTATAGGAGAAAACAATTATCGAAATGAGCTCATATATCAAAGCCTAAATTCTGGTAAGCCTGTGAGGTTGTCTTTATTTCTATAGTGTGAAGCTTGGTTTAATCTTGACTATGACCCTGGACTAGGATCCAAAGGGCTCCACAAGGCTACATTGATCCAAAGGCTAACAGTAGAGATTGCAGGCATATGTTCAATGCCAATAATTCTGTATTTCCACAGTGTGAAGGTTTGTTTACTCTTGACTGTGACAGAAGCTTAATACCTATGAACACCCCGGATCAGGATTCAAAGCGCTTCACAAGAATTGACCTAAAGGCTAAAATTAGTACTTGCAAGCATAGTTTGTCTGAACGTTATCATTATAATAATGTTCAACACTGGTGTGCAATTAAACACAAAACAATATATATGGGTATAGATATTAACACTAAATGTATCTTGATCATTATAAAAATAAAATTTGATGATCATCCATTGAACCATGCTTTCCCTAAAAATTCAAACTAATCAAAGTACAAAATATAATAAGTAATAAATGCATTTAAAAAAAATATTCCATATAAGTCCACTAAATCTGCTCCTCAGTGTGTTATAAATAAACAACAGATCAACTTCAATACCTGTGAGCATCCCATCCACCGCTATGTATAAGTATGTGAATCTGCTCATCTTGGAGCTGACCTCAAGATCATAAGAGGTCAAAGCTTGCATTGAATGTTGAGATATGAAGAGAAGATAATGCTACCCCACCTTTTATTGGATTCTGGGTCTGACTCTCCTCAAATCTTGTTAAATTAATGCAGCAATTCTTTCAAAATAATAGAACCACATCTAGCGCTGCCTATTCAAAAAGTTTATTAATAAAAAATACCTTTTAGTCTACTCACATCAGCAGAAATTAAGCTGACATAGCAATAATAGTAATTTCCTTGGAGATGGAGAACAGTGAATCCTTTGAAACCACTACAAGCAGCCACTTGCTGATGCAGCCAAGCCGACCAGCATAGCGATGTCACAATACGCCCTGCCCTTATGTGTTGCATCCCATGGGAGGGATTCATCATGGGATACATGGTTCAATGAATGACCACTAAATTTTATTTTTTTATTCATTATCAAGATACATGTGGTGTTGACATCTATACACATATACATGGTTTTGTGTTTAATTACACACCAGCGCTCCACATTATTATAATACTATTTGCTTGCTTTCTGTGGGTGGCACACAGAGAGTGCAAGTATGCTATTAACATTTTCTTGGTTGTTGTTTGGACACATTTTCTTTTATTGAACTTTAGAATTACTGTAATCTAAGAATGAAAAAACAAGTCTCTATATTGGTTAAAATCTCTTATCCTATCTTACCAATCCTCAGTTGTGCTTTAGTGCTTCTATAGTTTATAGACATACCACTCTACTACGCTTCATACAGCTGCCATGACAGTTACTGTATAACAAAACCTGGTGTTAATTGATATGATGTCACAACCACTCTCCTGTCATGATTATATTTGAGTATATTGTCAAAGTGTGGAAATTATTCAAATATATAATAAAATATATATAAAATGTCAATATAAAATACATACTGACATGAGAAAATATTATTTATTATTTAATTATATCAAATTTACAGCTGGTTCAATGAAATTCTAAACAAGTTGGTGAAACTGCATTGGAGGTAATTAGGAAGCAGTCAAGCGTCTGTGGTAGTGAGCCCTTGTAGAACGCCAACTCAGGATTTCCTAGGGCGCGGATTCTCTGTCCCAGCCTACAACAGTATTCCCCTCTTACGAGGTCTCCCCTCTTTTTTAGGGCCAGACTTAAGAGGAAACTTCTGATGAAAAAGTTCCACCAAATGGGGTACAGAAACATCGGTAGAAGGAATCCAACACCTCTCCTCGGGACCATATCCCTTCCAGTTAATTAGATACAAATGTTTCCCTCTGATGAATTTGAAATCCAAGATTTGCTTGACTTCATACTGATCCGTGGTACTCCCTGTTGGGGAAGGATGGTGATGAGGATGGGAAAACCTGTTGATGATGTACAGTCTCAGAAGAGAAACATGAAAAACATTAGGGATCCTTA